GATTAAAGTCTCGAGGCCCGCTATCAAAGCTTCATATTCAGCTTCGTTGTTCGAACACATAGGTTGAACCTCAAATAATAACTTAGTCGGAATATTGTTTGGAGAAATAATCAGAACTCCTATTCCAGATTTATTCGATGTACTTGAACCATCGAAATACATTATCCATTTACTTATTTCAATAAACAAATTCTCAGTGGAATCAACTGTATGCTCTATTTTGTCATTTTTCCTCTTATTTTGGTTCTCGATCTTCTTCATCTGTTCTGTTCTGAAAGCTTTGGCAGCCGATTTATCGAACACTGCACTGCATCGTGGGCATAATGAAACATCTTCGTCTTTTTCCTTCTTTCTATTCAGAAATTCAATGAGAGAATCTCCTGATCGAGGGTATATTTCCTTTTCGAACTCTTTCTCGAATTCACTCAGGTCAAATCCCATATCTTCCTCAGATACATCCATCCTGACATGCTTAGGATCGATGTCTTCATTGACATCTACCATGCCTATGAAGGCTGAATGTGTTAATCGGACATCATCAGTAATGCCTGTTTGGGATTCGAGGTATCCAACTTGGGCCTCGAATGGACTCGTGTCAACTTTCATTGTCATTTCTTCGAATCTCAACCTTCCTTGGTCAATCGCATCTTGGATGGTGTTCCTGAAATGTATACAATTGTTAGTCCAATGGCCATACACATTATGAAATTTGCAATATTTTCGACCATTCCTTTGTTCTGCAGATGACAGTTTATGATCATCACTCAACTTAATCTGTTTGTCTTTCAATAAAATATCAAAGATTTTGTCCGCTTTTGTTACATCAAAAGTATATGTTCGATTTGTCATTTTATCTTTTACTTCATTCTTTTGTAGCAATTTACAGGTATATGGAACCCCTACTTTGAGTTCTGCTAAGTTTACTTTCTCATCGACAGTTTCTTCAATATCATCTGTCATATTATCTGTCTCATAGACATCATTTATGTATGCTATTCTTTCCTTTTTTAGAGGTTTCTCATATTTCTTATACCTTTGTTTCTCATACTCGATTTGTTCCACTCTCCTCACTTTGTCAGCTAATTGAGCCATGTCATTTAATGGTAAATTGACTAGTTTTTTCCTAATTGAGAATTCTAAACCTGCAGAGGCCATTCTGACTAATTCATATTCAGGAATTTGAGTGAAACATCTCGATTTCATTTGTCTAAATCGATTCAAATAATCATCTATGCTTTCATGATTGTATCTTTTTATATTCATCAAGTCGATGAGACTCACTTGAGTTTCTCCTCTAAAAAATTGTTCATGAAAATTTCTTTCCAATTGCAGCCAATTATATATCGAATTAGGTGGCAATGACGTGAACCAAGTAAAAGCATTCTTAGTCAAAGAACTCGGGAAATATTTCATTTTCAATTCCTCACTCATCGCTAGGTCTCCACATTCGATCTGATATCGAGCTACATGCTCGATAGTCGATTCACCAACTTCTCCAGCAAATTTGGTGAATTTGGGTACTTTATATCCTCGAGGCAATTCTGTCTCGAGAATCGCATTTGGAAAGGGAGACACAAAATATGTCTGATTGGGTGGTCTAAATTCCATCCCTTGTAAATTCATTCTTTGTCCCAACATATTATTCTGATTGTGTATGTTTTGAAATCCTTCGTTCAAATTTCCATAAATATCATTCCTCACATTTTGATACTCATTTCCCATACGCTGCTGTTGGTCATTGTTTCTATTTCTTCTCAATAGATATGGGGGATTAATATTAGTATTCTGATTAGCATGATTTTCTATCCTCATTTGTCGAGGCATAGCTAATGCATCCCCGATTCGTGACATTTGGTCTGCTAATATCTCAAAGCTAGCAGTAGTGTTTTGCACTAATGGATTTAAGATTGTAGTCAATTGTTGTGATAACATATTCACCATTTCAAAATTACTCTCATCCATTTGTTGTCTAAGTACTCCTAATGAATTACTAGATATTCCGGTACCCATATTTTCGATAGAATCAAAATTAGATCGATGATAGTCTCTATCGAATACATGTCTCCCATGATCTAAGTATCCCCTCCGATCTAGATTTGGAGGTATCTGTTGTGTGCCTACATTCTGTCCATTCCCTGAATTCTGGGGAATTACTAAATTTTGCGACGTCCCTAAATTCGGAGGGATTCCAAAATTTTGTGGCATACCTAATGTTTGGGACATTCCTAAGTTATACCTCGAATTCCTATGCATTGAAGAAGTTTCGGCCCCACTCACATTATTAAGTGAAAACCCGGGCGATCTTACACTCATACGTGGCCCGACATATGTGGTTGTGGGATTTCCTATAGTTTGCATATTATTTGGTATCACCGTACTAGATCCTACTTGGGTGTTTGCTAATGTACCTGAATTTTGTTCACTACTCACAGGTATCGACATGCTCACAGTTGTCGATACTACAGGTGTGTTCCCATTATGACTTTGCCCCCCAGTATTTGGTGGGTGTGACACATTTAATCCCTCACTGTTACTCTGGTTACTTGATGAACTGTGACTCATGACTCTCCCACTCCTTAATCTCATACAATTTCGAACTAAACAATTTTGTGTTTCTCAACACAAGACCCCCCCTACCTGGCGCGCCAATTTGTTTCTGGTGGGATTTCGATCGATTTCGATTCTAAGGGTATTTTGGTCTTTAATCGAGATCCTCCCACGTAAGCTCTTTTTGCTTAGGCTAGCAATTTGATTTTCAATCGAAAACATGTATGAGAATAGAAGATCATAGGATATCGAAAGCGCTGTTTTTGATGTTTTGTATTTAAGGTCTCAAAAACATTAAGATTATCGAATCGAAAAAGCAGAATGTTAAATTGCGAGGAAACGTAAAGTGCGAAAACCCCAAACTTGCATTAATTGTAAATAGCAAGAAATCGAAAACAACGCAAATATAAATGACAAGAAATCGAAATTGCAAGAAAAGTAAATGACAGAAAATTGAGATTTGCAGGATGTTAAATAACAGGAAATCTAAATGTAGAAACTCAAATTTTCATTGAATTGAAATGGACAAGGAATTGAAAATACAGAAACATAAAATTGCTGAATTTAAGTTGCATCAAAATAAATTACCAAGGAAAATACAGAAAGCGGTAAATGTACTCAGTGAGCAAGGAAATCCAGATTGCCAGGAGCTTCATGGTGTTTGTCGTTTCTCCGGTAGACTTTTCACTACTGATCCTGTTCTCTGCCAATTTCTGCTCCCCCTGTTCCTTTCTCCTTTGCTCTATTTATAGGGCATCCTTCAAGCCTTCCGAGAGCAGTTAATGCGACTGCTACCACGTTCTACGTGCGTATGACAGTTTATCTTCTATAATTTCCCACGTTCTCACGATCTCCGACTTTTTCCCATGATTTCAAAACTGCTCTCTATACGTGCATTCGACTTACTTCCCTTCACAATTTGGCTAAAGTCTCGATGTCCACATTGACTTTCTTTACTCTCGATTCTGTATTTTTCGAGAACTTCGAATTGCTCACAATTCCTTTTTAACTCTGATCTTATATGACTTAGTTTTTATTCGACAACAGTCATTTGATTATAATTCATTCGATTCTCGATTGTGTTTCTCGATGCTATATGCTACGTATTTCTAATTAGACATCGAATGAACTTTTGTTTATCTTATCGAGTCATATTTCTTCCCTTCGATTTCGATCGCTTTTCTCGATTTGCCACTAACACGTTTATCAAAAATTGATTCGTCGATCATCATCCTATCATAAGTATCTTAGCCCGGTAGTCAGTCACCTAGATTGAGTACATCCAGTATTCATCCTTAGATCAATGCATATGCATCCAGTAGTCTTACAAACCCAGATATAATGCGAGTCCTGCAGCTTCAAATGTATGTGGAATAATAAGTCTGAAGTGATCAACTTTCATCTCTTCTACAACTAATTGACATATCGAAATGTTCTCAAGGATAATTATAAATTCTCTAGCATCACCACAGAATCAAAGCCACAGTTTAAAATCACCAAAAAAGTTTGTCACCAAAAAAGCTTATTATTTACCTTGTTTCTCTCTTTTTTTTCCTAAATGTATTTTTCATATACTAATCTGTTTGAGAGCTAATTCCGATATCCATCCATTATTTGATACAAAATCAATTGAATGATTCCAAGGTTTGATGCAAAATGATTCTAACAATATAGCAGTCACAGTCACATCCATCCAAAACTGGCATGCTATTGTTTTATCTTGTCAAAGAAGCTAATTTGACCTCACAACCTCGGCGCTATCTGACTTAGAATAATGAAAAGTTGTTTATTGTAAAAGAATATAAAAGAAAGAAAAATTGGTGATATGAAAGAGGATTAGGAAAAAATAAAAAGCAACAGTTTTGTGAGGGACTAAAAATATACATATACAAAAAAACGCTTATACAAACTAAAAAGAACATGTTTTAGGCATTGAGATCAATCCATAAAAACAGTTAAAATATGAAAATTAGTTCACAAAGACGTTAACATCATGCCAGTCCATCGTCATTGCAATGACAAGAAGTAATACTTGATCATACAATCAAAGTAATGTAACATCACTCCAATATTTACTTTTTCAGATAATAGTCATCGAGCATGGAATTGACTTGTTACTATATTTATTTAATACAATTGATAGTACATTTTATGAAAATAACATTTAAGAATCTTAGATAATGTTCCAAGTAAGGCAAATAATAAAAGCAACAAAGCTAAAGCTAAAAGACAACTATCGAACAGCGTGCTGTTAATTTTACATTTGAACACTAGTGAATCACGGGTGATGGAAAACGATAATCTGATAGGGAAAGTCGTATATCCTTACCATGTTTGACAAGTATGTACATTTGGTAAGTGTAACTACTATTTAAGATAAGATACAAGATGTGCGAGGGTGAAATTATGGTCCTCTATAATTTGTATAGTGCCAGGAAGGTGAATGGGAAAACTTAGGCATCACGGAAAATTGGCTGCGGCATCCACTTGAGATGCAAATTCAAATACCCAGATTTGGCACCATCTAGCTTAAAGCGTTCTTTGTACTCCCCTTCCAGTATTACCCTAGTGAGCGTCAATATGCACCTCCCCATGTAATCCTGCATGCGTGACGGAAAGAACAAACTATCAGAACTGAGGGATCCAAAACACTTTACCTTCAACCTCTTTTCTATCTGTTTGTTACAATAAACACCTTTCTTTTCATACTTCACAAAATGACTAACAATTTTAACCATCTATAACTGACTTAAACTGAGGAGATTTGTAAAATGAGAAAATAAAAGCCTTAGTATCATTGATTTGAAGTAAATAGTTAAGTATCCTTCCATTCTTTAAACCTTAAAAAAAAAAAAAAAAAAACTCATTTTCAATAACAACGGCTTGTTTGATGGACAAAGTGAGAAAATAGGATAAGAAGGAGAAAATGAGTGATAATAAGATTGTATTTAGTGCACACCAGATAACCATTACATAACAAAATTTTCCTTGTGGAAAAGTGGAGGAATTATAGGAAAGGCCCGTTAATATAGTGATAGTGGGTGCCAGTGTAAATAGTGACGGTGACAATGTCAATGAATTGGTAACAACAACCGTGAAGTGGTAATGAGAATGGTGAAAATAAGTAGTCAGAACATCTGTTGTAATAACAACAGTGGTGGCAAAAATGTCAATATGATAATGAGAAGAAGTGACATCAATATTAGTTGTAGGGCAGACCTTTCCAAGACCTCCCCCTCCACACATGTCTATCAAAATAGACAATTATCAACATGAGTTATAGACCGTGATACGATTCTAAATCTCATCCTAAAGCCATCTGACAATAGTGTGGGACTTTCCAAGAGAATGAAAACTGGCAGTGTGGGACTTTCCAAGAAGTGCAGGCAAAATTGTGACAATAGTAGCAACTACGTCAGTAGTTGTGGTAGTGTTGGTACAACAAGGTTGCTTATTGTGAAGTGAGATTAAAAAAAAAAAAAAAAAAAAAATCTCTATTTATCTTCCTCGTCAACATTGTAGTAGTGAATGTTAAGTTTCAAAGGGGGCAGTAGGAGGAAAGAGGTAAGATTAACATAGATGAAAAAGTTAAGACGAATGTGTAAACCACACAATAGGGGATAAGGTATAAAATTATTGTAATACAACAAGATACTACGGTAGCACCAACTGAGAAAATATGGTAAAATTCAGTTAAGGTATTTTGAAAATGTAAAAACAAAGCTACTAGAAACACCAAGGAGGATAATAGATTGCATAATTTGTAGTATTGTGAAGCCAAAAAAAAGACCAAGAAAGATATTGGAAGAAAATTAAAATATATTTTATACTCTTTCCAGTCCTCTGTATAATACATTTCTAATATAATAATTACACAAACCAATAAAAGTAAATATTATGCTGATTTTGTTGAATTTTAAAACAATGCTACCAATGTACCAAATGTATCCTTATTATTCATAATTTTAAAATTCTTTTCTCATTATGTATTAATAAAAAACACATTCATAATATTTAATAGCCACGAACAAAGAAAAGGAATTTAATGTTTCGTAGAAACTATAAAATGTTTAGTAAAAAAAGTGACCATCATATTTTTCTAAACTATGTCTTATATTAATGACAAGAGGGAATAATAAATAATATCAACGAAGATTTGGTGTTTAACTGAGCCGGATGCCCCCAAGTGAACCATATAACCTACCTTACCCATTCATGATAAAAAAAATAATAATAATAAATAAATAAATAAATAATTGTCGGTGTATCCTATCTTATTCGTTCCTAATTCACTTCTTAGAAGAATAACTTAGAACCAAATTACAAGGATATAGGATTGTTAGATATAAGCCAAATATAACCCTGTTCCTGTATCACTGACTATTTTTAAAACAGTTAGAGCAGTTTTTATTTTCGTTATAGTTTCTGTTTTTTGGCCTGTACAGTAAAGGTCTTATTACTTTTGTATAAAAATTTGTATACAGTCTTATTGAAATATGTTTTTTCCCATTCATTTTATCCTCTGGTTTCTATATGGTATCAAGAGCTTTGTTTTCGATCTTAGTGTGTGTAGTTTTTTTCTCTGTGAGGTATTCTTGTGTGATAAAACAAGAAAGAAAAAAAGCAAGCGTTTGGGTTAACCAAGAAAGGAGTGCATGGCTGGACTAGGGGGAGTAATGTAGGGAACAGGTGCGTTGCCTGTCTTTGACGGAAAAGCGTTTGAAGACTGGAAAATCAAGATGCAAGCTATCTTTGGGTTCTAGGATGTTACAGATGTAGTTTTCGTCTGTCTAAACCAGGTCCCAAAGCAACTAATGAAAAAAGGAGATTACAAGGTGCAGCAGAAGCTTGATAGCAAAACACATTTTCTTCATTATCAGTGCGTCAGTCCAAAGATTTTTTATAGGATCTCAAAGGCTGATACATCCAAAGAAATATGGGAGATTCTTGTTAAAACGTATGGGGATGGAGAAAGAAGCAAGAAAGCTAAGGTGCAAACCTTGCGGCAACAGTTTGAATGCTTGGCAATGGAGGATGGTAATATAGACTACTTTGATCGTGTGCAAGAACATGTCAATGCCATGAGAGCGTGTCGCGATTCTATCACTGATGAGTATGTTGCATATAAGATTCTGAGATCATTACCACAAAGGTTTGATCATATAGTTGTGGCAATTGAGGAAGCGCAAGCACGTGATACAAAAGTTATGGAGTTGGAGGAACTTCAGCATTCATTAGAGTCACATGAGCAAAAAGTTTCAAGATCAAGTTCTGCAAGTTCGTTCTCAGATGTGTGGAAAGGGGTTCAAGAGTGGTCAAAAGAAGAATAACTACAAAGGAACCCAAGATCAGAAGGTGAAGGAAGCCGGTGATAAAGAAAAACGAAAAGATGGTGGCAGGTCTGATCATGAAAAAGAAGGAAAATTTGATAAAAGGAAGGTAAAATGTTACAACTGTCAGAAATTTGGTCACTTTGCGAAGGAATGTTGGAAGGGAGAAGGGGCTAAGAACAATCCTAAGAATCAAGCTAATCTTGCCCAAGATGAAACATCAAATTTGGAAGCAATAATGCTAATGGCCAAGACTAATGAAGAAGGAGCAGAAAGAGATTCTTGGTATCTAGACTCCGGATGCTCTACACACATGACTGGTAGGAGGGAATGGTTTGTAAAAGTGAAGGAAGTTGTATATGGAAAAATTAAATTTGTTGATGACAGAAGTCTCACAACAGAGGGATCTGGTAGAGTGGTTTTGCGTGATGAGGGTGGCAAGGAAGTGATCATTGAAGAGGTTCTGTATGTTCCAGGTTTAAAGACTAATTTACTTAGTCTTGGTCAACTTTTACGAAAAGGTTCTATGATGCAAATGGAAGATAATTGTCTTAGTATATTTGACCAGAATAGGAAACTAACCATACAGGCTAAGCTTTCCAAAAACAGAACATTTCGTGTAGTGATGAAGGCTGTGAGTCATCAATGTTTTTCTCTCTATGGACAAAACTGAGTGGTTGTGGCACATGCGCTTGGGCCATCTGAATTTTAGAGATTTGTCTTACTTGAGCAAGAGTTCAATGATACACGGGCTTCCGCTGATCAATGTCCCTGAAACAGTATGCAAGGAATGCATTCAATGTAAGCAGACAAGAGAGAGTTTTCAGAAAGTGATGCCACAAAAGACGAGCAAGAAACTGGAAGTAGTATACTCTGGTGTATGTGGACCTATGTAGATAAAAACCCTAAGAGGAAATAGGTATTTTGTCCTTTTCATAGATGATTTAACCAAGAAAGCTTGGACATATTAAAGTGAGGTGCTTGAGGTATTTAAAGTGTTCAAAGCTGTAGCAGAAAAGCAGTGTGGTGAGAAGGTGAAATTTCTGAGAACTGATGGAGGAGGAGAGTATACTTCCACTGAATTTAGAAAATTTTGTGAAGAGGGAATAACACAGGAGATCACACCACGCTACACCCCTGAGCACAATGAAACAGCAGAAAGGAAGAACAGAACTCTGCTTAATATGGTTCGTTGCATGTTGAAAAGCAAGGAGCTTCCAAAGTTTTTGTGGGGAGAGGTTGTTCTAGTTGCCACATACATTCTCAATAGGTCACCAACCAAGAGATTAAAAGATGTTACAGCTGAGGAGGCATGGTCAGGAATCAAGCCTAGTGTTACGCACCTGAGAGTGTTCGGTTCTGTGTGTTATAGGCACATTCCTGATCCGTTAAGAAGAAAATTAGATGACAAAGGGGTCCCAATGCTACTGATTGGTTTTCACTCCACTGGGGGCTACAAACTGTTTGATCCTAAGACTGGAAAAGCTATAGTGAGCAAAGATGTGGTGGTGGATAAGTCAGCAGAGTGGAGGGAAAAGGATAGTGAGCAGGAGGAACCTATACTTGCGTTAAATGAAGAAGGTGAAGACGATCAACCTGATATTGAAGGAGTTGCTACTTCTGTACGAAGATCTGCCCGAACAGACAAATACCTACCCACATGCAGGATTTTGATATTATGAGGCAATAGTTACATCTGTTGGTGATTTTGTGCATTATGCATTAATAGCAGAATCAGAACCTCTGAGTTTTGAAGATACTATGAAGGATGAAAGATGGAGAAAGGTCATGCAAGAAGAGATTGATTCCATTGAGAAGAATGGTACGTGGGAGCTGTCTGAACTTCCATTTGGAAAAAAAGAAATAGCACTCAAATGGGTCTACAAGTCCAAAGTAAATCCTCTGGGAGAAGTAGTAAGATACAAGGCCAGACTAGTAGCCAAAGGATTCTTGCAGAAGGCTGGTGTTGACTACGGAGAAATTTTTGCTCCAGTAGCTCGACTGGAGACAATCTAGATTGTTGTGTCACTTATTGTTCACTTCCATTGGTCTTTACATCAATTGGATATCAAGTCTGCCTTTTCGAATGGTAAGCTAGAGGAAGAAGTATATGTGGTTCAACCACAAGGTTTTGAAGTTCAGAAGCATAGAGACAAGGTGTTTAAGTTGAAAAAGGCTCTTTATGGCCTTAAGCAAGCTCCTAGAGCCTGGAATCAACGAATAGATGGCTCTATGAGTAGAATTGGATTTGAAAAATGTATTTCAGAACATGGAGTTTATGTCAAGAAGCACTATGAGAATATGAAGATAGAAAAAATAATAATTTGTCTGTATGTTGATGACCTACTTATCACAAGAAGCAGTGAATTACAAATTTTAAGATAGAAATGATGAAGAAGTTTGAAATGAGTGATCTTGGCAAACTGAGTTACTTCGTGGGAATAGAGTTTACTCAACACCAATATGGTCTAGTTATGCACCAGTCAAGATATGCCAAGGAGATTTTAAGGAAATTTGACATGCACCAGAGTAACTCAGCTGCCACACCTACTAAAGTTGGTTTGCAGGTTGAACAGGAACCAGAAGAAGTGAGGGTTGATCTTAGTGAATATAAGAAGCTTGTTAGAAGCCTAAGATATTTGTGTAACACAAGACCTGACTTGTGTTTTAGTATGGGATTGATAAGTAGATACATGCATGAACCACGTATTTCACACTTAAATGCTGCAAAAAGAGTACTTCGCTATCTGCAGGAGACATGTGAGTATGGGATTCTGATTTGCAAAGACAGTGCTGAAACTGGACTGAAAATTATAGGCTATTCTGATGCAGATTGGTGTGGAGATAAAAATGATAGGAAAAATATAGCAGGGTACATTTTCTTTCTTGGTAAATCACCTATCTCCTGGAGCTCAACCAAGAGTCAGTAGTGGCCCTATCCTCCTGTGATTTAACCTGTGAAGCCAGCTATCAGGCAGTTTGGTTGGAAGCATTAATGGAAGAATTGAAGGTAAAATTTACTGGAAAAGTGAAGCTGTTTGTGAACAACAAGTCAGCAATCAGTCTTACAAAGCACCCTACTTCTCATGGGAGGAGTAAGCATATTGAAACTAAGTTTCATTTCATAAGAGAACAAGTTGCTAAAGATAAGTTGGAAGTGGATTTCTGCATGTCACAAATGCAGTTAGCAAATTTTCTTACCAAAGCATTGAAACGGGAGAGATTCAAATTCTTGAGAGGAAAAATTTGTGTTGTCAAAAGAAGTGGAGGTTAGGCCTAGGGGTGTGTTAGATATAAACCAAATATAACTTTGTTCTTGTATCACTAACTATCTTTAAAACAGTAGAGCAGTTTCTATTTCCATTATAGTTTCTGTTTTTTGGCCTATACAATAAAGGTCTTATTACCTTTGTATAAAAACTTGTATACAGTCTTATTGAAATATGTTTTTTCCCATATCATTCATTTTAATTAACATTTTATCCTCTGGTTCCTATAAAACAAACAAGATAAAATTATCCTACTCTATTTGCTCACCAACATATTAACATCCAGAGCATTATAGTGTATCCTATCGTATCTTCTTAATCGTGGTTACCATTCAAGACCCAAGTATATTACAATTAAATCCCTCTTATAACTAGAGGTGTATAGGGCCTTTTGGTTTGGTTTTGAAGGTGAAAAATATCCGAATCAATCAAAATTAATTGGTTCGTTTAAATTAGGATGTGAAAAAACCTCCTAAAAAATCTGAATCAAACTGACAGGACGAAGAATGGTTTGATTCAGGACTAGTCATATGGATCACAACTAATTTATTGGGATCAATTTTTCAAATAGTCAAATAACGAAAAACCGTAACAAGTAAATTGAGAAAATGTATATTTTAAATTTAATATTCAATTCCACAATAATCAACAAAAAATTAGTTTATTCATTTTATTAGAGTGATCTAATATATCTTAGTGTGCAAGGATGTCAAAATAGGTTTCATTTAATGGGTCGATTCGAAATATCTAAAACATAGGTCAGCTAGACAAAAATGATTATGCTCTAAATTAGCTTTTCAAGGTTATGACTTATATATTTAAGTCAGGCTAATATATAAACTTATAATGGTCTATTTTTTTAGAATAATAATTATTTTTTAAATAAAAATAAAAGTAATATTATTTTATTATTTGTATTATAAATTAATTTGATAAATATTTTTTTATTTTAAGAATAAATACTAAAATAAATCTCTAATAATCACTTATTCTCAATACTAAGATTAACTGATGATAAGAAAAAATAATTTTATAACTTTTATATTAAAATTAAATAGATCTAATTTTTTATAATTTATATATTAAATCATTATATCTTAAATAAAAAATAATTTTATTAATATAATTTAAATTTTAAAATATACCTTTTTTTTATTTTTCTTCAAATATTTTTAATTTAAAATTTATAACCCGTTTTAAAATATAGATTAAATTAGATCATTAATTTTGTTTATTAAACCCGTAAAACTAAATCAGATTGACCTAAGTCTTTTATTTTCATAGTCCTACTAATGTTCTGGCTTCGCACAAGTGTGGGAGTAATAGTACACGGTTTACCCCTTATATTTGTAAAAACAAAAACTGTTTTTTTTTTTTTAATTACAAGACAAACAATAAGCCTGAACTTATTATTATCATTATTTTCATATTCTAATAATTGTAACATTTTTTAGGTGCTTCCCCTTATTCAAAGATATGAAACTATAACCTGCTCCATTAATAATTTGTGTTACTTAATGGTAATTAAAAATTTGTACAATTTAAGTACTTGACAATTTCAATTTATACTGCTATAGAATAAATTGAACTACAATGCGTTTATAAAAATAAAAAATGAGACTTACGTAAATTTCAGAAGTATATGATTCTATTAAAAATAATGATTTCAGTGATTAATAACTTTGTAAAGTGTGCCATTAAAAGTTAAACGTAATTAGCACTTCCAACGGGGTTACTTATATATTTATTTTTAAAGTTAATCAACCTCTAACTAACTAGAGTAAATGACACCTTAAAGTTTTTATTCATGTTGCATACATAGGCAATAAACAAGGTTGCTCAACTATTTTAAAATAATTTTTAAATAAAAAAAAGGATTTTTGAGAGGGGGAATAAAATGAGATCTACTAAAGCTCAGTTAAGAACTCAAATTAGATTGTACTGTTTAAGTAAAAACTAATAAGTGTTCTTAATCATTTGTGGGAAAGAAGTGATCTACTAAAAAAGAATTAAGAACCTAAACTGAATCCTTGCATTGGATACATGCTCTAAGTGTTTATTTTAAAAAATGGGAGGTTTTCAGAAAATTTAAAGAAATAGGAAAGAGGTTTTGTGAAAAGTATTAAGTAGAAAATGTGAGATGACGAATCCCAATAATTTTAGGTAATTCTGAAAAAATAATACAAATTGTTAGCATATTTAATAGTACTAACTAAGTTAACAAATCTTTTACAAGAGTGAATTCGTTAAAAGAATCTTAACCTCGTAAGTATCTCTCATGCGTGTAAAGTTATAATTTCTTTTTACGATAAATTCATACATAATAGTTATCATGGACATATCCATGGTGAAGAGAGAAAACTTATGGTTCTGATAGAAACCAGAAATTTATTTATTTACGAAAAACAATAGAAATAACCCCATGATAGAAATCAGAATCATTTACAAAGAAAGAAATAAAACACTACAAAATTCTGTGTTAGTTTTGAAGTATCATATTGTATTCTCAGGAATCACATTTATAGGGATGTTTGTTTCAAGCCTCCCAAATTAAAAGACTCCGAACTCACTCAAGGACCGAATGCCCTTCCACCCTACTCAATGATTTGATGTCCTCTCCCTTACCTTTTCCTCACTTCTATCTGCTCCTAAACCACTTTCCTTCCTACCCTCTGTCATATGAGCAGTGCTGCCACGACTTAAATCTTTATTTTGCCCTTTACTCATATTTCCCACAACATCCAACGTAGAAATACGTAACAGTTTCATTAATTCAATTTATACTTGATGGCCCATAAATTGACACATCCATAGACTTCTAAACTCCGTTAAGTTGTTTTGATTAATATATAATTGGCACTCCACATAATTTGTGTTAAATTCAATGCTAATTGACTTGAAATCATCAAGACATTAAATAAAAGGTAATCTTAGAAACACAATTCAACATAAATCAAATATTTTACCTTTCCAAATGTGTCGTGGTCCCAAACTTCAACAATTAGCATATCATGTAACCCATCCTCCACAACAAAGTCAAATGTTTGATTCCAAACTGGATTCAAGCTGTCATTCACAACCTGAGAAAGTAACATACTTTTAGGGCCAAACTAAGTTCGAAATATGTTGATAATCAATTAAACCACAAATTTGGGAATACCCTGGTTTTATTTTTTGTTTCTGCTTTCTTCAAGGTAAGAACAACAAAAGGATCAGATTTTCCCATGAAATCTGTTGCAGGCAAGTCTTCGGCGGATATTACAGTAACAGAAAGGACTCCTCTAATAATAACCTCCCTTTTCTTTTGGGTAACTGCATTTTCATTTCCATTAGACTCTATTCCGTTCGTTGCATTTTTAAGAACCTTTTCCAAAGATGTCATTGAGAAGTTGGGAGCAAATGGGTTTGTAAAAGTATTCTCCATGCCAAATGGACAGTACAAGAGCTCCAAATGTACCTAAGCAGAAAGAAAAAAAAAAATAGCTTGTCCGATTTCACTTAAGGGAAATTTTTTACTTTTTTCAAAAATCTCCCAACAAAATTTTGATAAGTTCTTTTGAACTGAAATTATGCTAATACAAACACTTAACAATGAAGCAAATATATTTATTATTTTGTGCATACAATTGAAAATATGTTCACAATTGTATACAAACTAGGAAATTATTATAAATCCATATTGACTGGGACTTTTTAACTATGAAATTTAAAGCATCTTATTACCAATAGTCATTCTTGATTTAAGAAGGTAACAAAAAAATAATTGTATCAGTGGTTTCGCCACTGGAGCCCCCAAGGTGTGATACCATCTCAGAATGAATATTTCATTGATTACTTTTTTATATTGAATAGAATATAAGTTATGGCCATCTTTACAAGGATGACGGAATCATCCTTACATATCCGTACATAACAAACTTGAATGATATCAGGAAATGATTGTAACACTATGTGGAATAACAAAACTATACGGGAATGAAAAAATAACAAACTATAACAACTTGTAATAAACCAATCAAGAATGATTATTCTCTGGAAATACACCTACACTTCAAGGAGAGGTTGGGTTTGTCAAACATAGGGTGCAAATCAATACCACATGCTGACAACTTTGAAGTTTGAACAGTATTTCCTGGAATTAAATTTTAATATTATAGTATGAAAAGAAAAAATCAACCACTTCTTTTATTGATATATGAACAGAGGAATTGCATGAAAACAAGACCAGCCTAATCAAAAGCATAAGCCCCTTCCCCTCTTGATGACAAAGCTTGATTGACTTGACACCAGGAACCACACTATCTTTTGAAAGCACTATGCGGATCTTAGGTATACTTTCATATATGCATATGTGCTTTTATGCTTAGACTCTTATATATCTAGTTATATAATAATTTTAGCAAATGACCAATTTGAAACCGTAATTTCAAAAAGAAGTGGATAAAGGGGATATATGGCAAATAAGTATTTCAACTTCAGCTTTATCCAGCTCTAGGTATGCCACTAAAACGATTGCATTCTGCTAACATATTTTCAGAATATGCAGGATAGATAAACCTTATAGTGTTACTGAGAGTTCAAAGGTAAACTCCAAAGTCAACAAAAAACTTCTCACCTCAACCAAGAATCTTCCAGCCATCAATAGTTTTAACTTTAAAACTAGCAAGTCATACATGTATTTCTCACCTGCCCTCTGTTCTTGTTATCCCTTTGGATCTCCAGATCCTTGACCAACTTCAACCAAACATCCTTGACTTTACCAGGTTGAAGTTCACTAAGTCGAAGCTGAGCACATCCAATCAATTCAGACGACTGTAAACCCTCAGAATCATAAACTTTAACAATTACGTTCTGAGTGGACACATCTTCAACAATAAATTCAAAGTGTTCATTCCAAATTGGATTCAAATCATTGTTCTGGAGGGATAAAACAAAATTAGTTATTTCTTCCAAAACTGAAATCCAATAAATCCTACAGGAAGATAGACACAGGAAAAAGAAACTAACTTACAATTGTCTTGCTTTTCTTCATTCTGTCGCGTAGAGGCCGTATGTATATTACAGCATATGGATCTGATTTTCCAATGATATCCTTGTTTGTTAATTCCTTTGCTTGCACAAGCTTTACTTCTAATATACCCATAGGCTTCAACTCCAAATCACTGAACAAGAAAATACAGTGAGGTTCAAAACAAAAACCTGTGATTTAATCAGCTGAGACCATAGTGAAAGTAGTCCCGTGATCAACAAGTTATTTGAATATTAGAAGATATCACATTGTTGGTTATTGTATCTTAAGAACAGAGTATCTTAGTACTTCCTAGTTCTGGTGAAATTTATGATTACACTAAATTTAATTAGGATTAGGAATCTGGTATTTTGTTGTTGTTGCTGAAGAGAGACCGATATTAGTATAAATAGGGGTCATAGACCTCATGGTTGGTATTGTGAATCATATCCTTCACACCAATGTCAACATAATTTATTATTCTGAGCTTTTTTTCTTTCCCCCTCTATGTCTAAACCCTCTAATTTTTAACATGAGAACCAGAAGAAAAAATATAAACTGTGATTTACCTGTAATCTCCAGGCAAGATGGGTACAACTTTTCTCACAGGCCATGTAATAGAATCTTCAATAGCATCACGAATTGCCCCCTGTAATAATTTACTAGACCTAATTATTATAAAACATCTGAATTTCAGTAACCTAACTTATTCATCTAATTAGAGAGAAAGGGACAAAAATAGCATAAAAAAGATATAGGAACATGTTGGATCCAAGATAAGGGACTTGAGTCCCACATTGAAAGCATGGGATTCTAGTGTGGACCCTGTGGGGTTTATAAGGCATTGGGCTCTCCAACTACAATGAATAGCTTCTGTAATGTGGTTCTCTCAAAGTTCTTAATATTAACTGGTATCAGAACTTTCCACCATGTCTCTCAACTTCAAACAAGAGGCACAAGTGGTGGCATCAGTATTGCTCGGGCACTGGAGCTGTAAAGTGTGGGGGGAATTAAAATCCAATTGTAAGGTGTGAGATTTAGTCTCATCTTGTATGTGTAGGATTATAGTGCAAGATTTATAAGTCTTAAACTCTCGAACTACAATGACTATTTTTTGTGGAGTGGTTCTCTCAAGGTTCATATAATAAAGAAAGAATGATAGGCTCAGGTAATTATTCTGTTTGCATATTAGAATTATAAAAATAAATTATATGAAAGACAGTGCAGTACCAAATTTAGATACAGTAGCAGACACCAAAAGTAACAGAGTTACATGTAAACACAGGAATGAACACTGTAATGACTTTACGTACACTTTCTACATATGAAAACATTTACATAAAACATGCCTCATATTGACAAAATATTGTTTACATAGACAGAAAAGTTCATTTCAAAAGATTTCACAAACTTAGAATGACAAAAATACCTGAGTAATGAGTACAAACTTGAATCAATGCATGAGTTGCAAATATATGCATGGGTACAAACTTGGAAATTTTTTTCTTTTTTTTTTTTTGACCAAGAGAGAGGATGAAAACCTACCTCATATTTCTTCACTAATTCTTAGCAGTAAAGATATTCTGTGAGTAAAGCTGAATCTCAGTTACAAAAATTCACTCGAGAACAATAGGCTTTCTCTAACCAAGGAACAAATGAATACAAAGTTAGGGGCATTTTTTTCAAACTATGGTGAAAAATGAAAAAAATCTCCTATCAAACTTCAATAATGGTATATAAGAAAAATAGAATGGAAAAAAATTAAAAATTACTGGAGCTGATATAATTATTTCTTTAACCAGCATTTGTGTGCGAGAGTTATATTCATGTTGTGGCTTTTCTAATGGTAAAAGGGTAATAAAAAAGTATAACATCTAGTTGGAAGACAACAATAATTTAGAGTTACAAGTTTCTCCATCAATACTGGAAAAGCTTTCAAATAACATTATGTGCACTATGACAATTAAAATGACATATTCATCATCACCATCAGAGATATGCTAAATGGGTATATCATCAACAAACAATGGGAGTAGTCCAAACCTCAATTGCATCATACAATCCAGGGATTGCTGATATGTCGCCGCCAATGACTTTGAGAGTAAAATCCAACTTTTTCTGAAAGTCAAAATTTTCTGAAATGATTAAATGTATTGCATGTGGAGCATAAGGTTTAATGTCTTTATATAAATAAGGCTTGACAAGTGTTACAGGCATGCATAAAGAAATGTGTGAGAGTAGGGCACTGCATGTGCCTGTATCGGAGCACATTGAAGAGACAGATGTTGTGATGAGAGGGGCAGTTTCCATAATTAGTAACTGTAACCACCAAGTCACAAGGTGGAAACCTTGCTGTAGTGCAAAATCTCACCTACTATGCAAGAATAATTGATACAATTCTAAAATAAATCAGATTCCATCCATGAGACTAATCCACTTGTTTTAACAAATTATTTGGCTAGATCTTGCAAACCATATAACCTAAGTTTAGTTTAATTAAAAGTGAACCTTAAGAAAGTGTTTGGCCCCATTGTAAGACAAAAAAAATGAATATATGCATCGGAAGCTTGTCCTAATGTAGGTGCACTGAAACAAGTAGGAAATTAACAGATTTAAGAAGAGAAATCATACCTTCTGCCTTAATGAATAGCTAACAGCTCCAAAACCAGGAAATTCATCGACTAGAGGCTTAAAGATCAATCTAAAAACACCTGTAAATCCAATATTTTTTACCTGAAAAGAGGTATGAGATTACAAAATCAACTACATTCTTTCAAAAAATAAACCAAACAAACTTAATGTATATTACTTGTGCAAAAAATTACTGATGTCTAATCAAAAAGCTTTTACTCACGAACATGCCATTTTTTATGTATGTTAATAATCATGACAAAGAAAGGAGGAAGAGAATCATTCCTTCACTTAGTCAAATGGGGTCTTCTATCCTTGAAATTTATATCAATGGGGTGCTATTAATGAAATATAACAGAACAAACAAGTCCGATATAATATTCAGTTAGGAGCTAACAGGATAAGATTTCCAATTAAATTAGAAGAATTTGGGTCTTACAATAGTTTGAGTGAAAAGAAAAGGCATAGTTTGGCTTGCAGCCTTTAAAGATAAGGACAGGGGGAATATTAATACAATAACCTAACAACTGATCCATTTGAAAGGCATCTAACCAGATACTGGTAATAACTAGTAACCAGACATGCAGTAGCAGTAAAAGGTTGAAAGAAGTACCTGCACTGGTAGTGCAACACCAAGAAGAGTTTTAATATCAAGTATAATACTTGGATTCCCATCCCATTGCATTTCTAGCTCCATTGTAACACCATCCCCTCCATCCTCAATTATAGATACACCTAAAGAAAAACATCAACAAATCAGAAGCTCCAAACAAATGTATGACGTAAAAATCTTTGGTAGAGATCCTGAATAAAGTAAAAGGATGATAACATGATGGCATGAAACGGGTAAATGGGGAACAAAAGATATGAACTACAGCAAATTTGAGAAAAGTCCTCGGTCAAACAGAAGAAACCACTTGTGTAAATATTTTGCATAAGCTAGAATCAAGAGACCAACAAATAACCACAAGTTTGAACTTGTTAGGATTCAATTCAAGTGAAGAGAAGTGTTTAAGGGCATGCCTCTTGGTGGGGCACCTGAAAAATAGGAATGGTAAAAACGAAGCACAATGGGACAGCTGTCATTTATTCTTTTGTGCTTGACCAGTGGTGGAAATTAGAAAATGATTTTAATGCCATAGAAGCAGAGGCCAGGACTAGTACGGTTGGTGCAAAAACTAAAATCTAGTTGTCCTATATATGTTACGCATGCTATAGAAGTATAAAGTCATCTATGTGCATGACCCATGAACTTTTAGCATAGTTGGTTCATGATAATTCATCTACATTTTGTTTTACTAAGCAAATATACATTGTCCGCATTCACATTTCCATCCACTCAGCACTGCAAGCCAGTTCCCCTACAGTCAAACCCAGCTAAAGAAAACAAAAAAGGGAAATTAAATTAAAGCAAACAACTCAAATACGTCTAAGGCAGTATCTACGTTTTCATTCAACCAAAAGGAGGGGAACCAGTCAGATGACAACAGTACCAATTGCACCAAAGGAAAAACGGATTGCCAAAAATCCAAAGCAATTGGATCGAACGGACCTGTGAACTGTGGCGCCACAGTACCAAGTGTAAGCTTGGAAAACTTGAGAGAAGCCAAAACCACAGGTCTATATTGTTCCAGAATGGGTTCCACCGACGTCTTTATGAGCTCAGAAGCAGCCTAAAAAAACCAACGCATGAACAAATAAAAATGAACAAACACAACCAAACCCACATGTGAAGCATAAGCCACAAGCTACCTCATTAACATAGGGCCAGATCTTGGTGAGATGCGAGTTAAGCCAAATCAACTGAAGACAATAACACAACAACGTGAGTCCAAGACCGAATTTGAAACGACGAGATTAAAGAAAGTGCGTGTGAGAGAAGAAAGCTCAACTTCTGGCTGGAAGAGAAAACGACCCAGGAAGGGTAGAACTGAGGCGGCAAGATCTTTCTAGAATCTTCGACGGTCATCCTGGCGAAGGCGGCGATGGTGGTGGCAAGCTGGGAGCGCTGGGCGGCTCGAGCATTCTCGCAGCGGACGAAGCCCACTATGATGCCCAGGCCCACGATAACTCCGACCACCACTCCGAAAACGAAGCCCATCGAGAGAGTGTGAAAAGCGTGAGAGTGGTGGGCTTGTGTTGGGTTTAACCAGAATCCCAAGTGTTACTTGATCAAGTTACTGTGGCAATTATTTGGAAGTTGTTAGAAGGACACGAACGGTTTGATTGGTCTTGAAGAAAAGAAGTCAGAGAAGTTGTACATTAATGTAACGCTAAATTCCCGCATTGACTTCGCTTCTCTCTTTTTTATTTTTTTCTCTTCTGTTTCTTATTTTATCTAACTTTTTAAGGTAGATTTACTCTCAATTTATGCCGTCCCACCAATCCAATCCCTCATCGCCATTTTGCTTCTTCGGAAAAGGTATTTTTTAATATTGGATTTTATTAACAGCAAATGTATTAGAAGTAGCGAGGAGCTAAAATGGGTGCGAAAAAATATGAATATATATTTCTTTATATTTTAAATTATTATAATATTTTATTATATTTTTTATTTTTGAAATTTTTTTATCAATTATAAAAAATCTTTTCAAATTGAAAAGATGTGATGAAAATTCTTTAAAATAAAAAATAAGATCAAATCTGAATATTATTATTATTATTATTATTATTATTATTATTATTATTATATATAGATAGATAAGTATAAATCTTATTTTATTAACCTATTTTTCTAAAGTTAAAAATCTCAATATTTTTAATCAAATATTTCACATTTTAAATTTATTTTAAGATGAATTCGTGATTTTATTTATAGTTTAGATTTAGGTTAATTATAAATTTATAATTATTTAAAAATTTATTTATATAATATAATATAATTATATTTTAGATTCACGTTATATTTCATCTTAAGATAAATTCTTATTATTATGAAAAAAAACTCATAAAATAAGGGAGAAAAAGTAGATTATTGATTTTGGTGTCAAATAATATATTATTAATAAATAATAAATAAATATAAAAAGATAAAATATAGGGTTAAGGATGTTTTTAGTCCTTATACTTTCATGTGAAATTGAAAACAGATCCTTCTATCATAGATTACATAAAAATGATCATATACTTTTGAAATGATTGAAATAGGTATCTATTTTAATCCGCGTTAAGTATATGCTTGACATGTCTAACAGAAATGGCATAACTTATTCATTTGACACGTGTAATTATTTAAAAAAATTAAATTAAATTAAAAGGTGTCAAGTTTTAAAAAGTCATTTAAATCCACATTTATAATATTTAAAAGTCATTTAAAAAGAAATTTAAACTTCTCTGTCATTCATAAGCCATTTAAATCCAAATTTAAAGCATTTAAAAGTCATTTAAGAATGGATTTATGTCCAGATCATTCCTTTTGAATTTAAATACAATTTATCTTTAAAATGAATTAGATTTTGCATTCTTTAAAAATGGAGTGTACCATACATGTTCCTACCCATACACGTACCATTCAAATACATGTTCCTGCATTTAATATGTTTCTTTATTTTTTAATGTCCACCCACAGAGAAACTCATTGTAATCGTACAATGTGAGAAATTGATTCAAACAATGTACGAGAAAAATCATAAATCATTTTAACAAAACCCCTCAAATGCATGTATTAGAACACAAAGTAAACATTTAGTTTTGCAAATGAAAAAACATACCTTAATTTTCGAAAATAAAAACCCTAGCTATGGTATACTACTGTCATTGTGCACCACCATCGCATTACCAATCGAACCACAATGAACAATGGAATCTTCGAACTTTAAAGTCACTTTGACTTCATACAACCTTTACAGAGAAAGGGGAAGAAAGAAAAGACCTTTGGTGTGTGACGAGAAAAAAAAAAGAGAACGAAAAATAGTTATGACGAGAAAATAAGAGAGAATGAAAAGTGATTGTGACGAGAACTGAGAAGCTTTGAGGAGAAAAAAAAAAGTTTCTACTTTTTAATTTTGTTTTTTTTAATAATAATCTCTGTTGAATAATTTCTTTTTTTTTAAGAAGAGTTTTGCTTCTTTTTTTTAAATAATTACACGTGTCAAATAATGAATGAGTCATACTATCTCTATTAGACAAGTCACCATATATTTAACGTCGTTTGAGATAGGGACATATTCCAATCATTTCAAAAGTATGTATAGAGATCATTTTCACGTGAACTTTGACAGAGAGACTATTTCCAATATCACATGAAAATACAGGGACTAAAAACATACTTAACCCTAAAATATATATACATGAGAGTTTAAAATTGTAAATATATTTAATTATTTTAAAAAGGTTAACCTTACAAATACATATATAAATTAGAAAACATTGGGAGGATCAGTGCTCTTGCACTTCCAATAAAATTCATCACTAGACAAATGAAATTATGAAAATGTAATAAAATTTCACATCAACTACATATATAATAACATATATAGATTAATACCATAGTTTGTTAAAGAAATTTTATATGATTTAAACCAGTATCTCAATATTTTTATTAAAATTAATGTGAAAATATTTTAAAGATGAAGATATGTGAAAACAACACTCTTGAAATAAAATTGTAATTTTTGTTGAAATTATTAATTAGTTATATACCTATGTTTTTTAGCTTAAATTTTGTCCCTTGACTTTCCATCTAGTCAATATATGTGTTCTTATCAATATAAATAAGATATCATGTTAGAGATGTGATTAAGTCCTCTAAAAACTATTTTCTCTCTCTATTTTATCTTAAATTGATATCAGAGCGTGTTAATTGGTCTATAATCCTCCTATCAGCGGTTGTCATTGTCCTTTTACCATTGTTCGCTACCGACCACCACTGTTCCCCGCCACTGTCTGCCGTCGTCGATTGTCGTCTGTCGTGCAAACCTCCCTGACCCTATTCCGATCATGGGGTCCTTCTTTCCAACTTATTTGAAGATTTATTTCTAGGCATCCTAAGTTAAACCTAAAGTTGCAAGTTGATGTTATAAAAAATGTCTTTTGTACCTGTGTTATCCTTCTCATAAACTCCTTCAATTACCGTTAAAAAGTTGAATGGAAAAAATTATTTATCTTAGTCTGCCTTAGTTGAACTATGGTTTCTTGGTCAAGGTCTCCATGATCAACGTGTATAAGATAGGAATAAGGTACCAGCTGATAAAGCCAAAAAAGGGAAATAGACTTATTTTCAGCTTTGTGCCTTATTATGGCAATATGTGAACCAAAGCTATTAACAACTCTTAAAACATTTAAAACATGTCATTACTTTTCGAAAAAGGCTTAGAATATTTTCGCATATGATATTTAGGGTCTCGATTAATTTTGCCAATAGACTTGTCTCTCTTCAACAATCAGACCATGATATGATGACTTTCATAAGTGAAACTCAATTTACTGTTGAAGAACTTAAGATGTTCTTGCAAGATGAGTCTTTAGAAGAAACTAGATAAATTTTGTATGTTTATGATTCTTTGTGCCATACATCCATATTTTGAACATGTCAGAGATCAACCATTAACAGGTCATGAAGTCTCATCCATAGAGAGTTTGACTACAAGACTTCTTCGGGTTCCTACAAGTCAAAACAATAACCTCCAAGAGGCTGTAGAATCTTCTGGCAAGATTTCTACACGTGACAGAGGAGAACGTAATGCTAGAGGATGAAGAAGTGGTCGAGGGCGCCCTCAATGTGTGCACTATAAGAGGATGGGTCACGTTCAAGAGAACTACATAACATGACTTTCCTAATAAGACAGTCAATATCACCAATATTGAAGTTCTTGAACCCAAGTTATTTGATGGAGAGTATCAAAAATATCTTAGGTTAAAATCCAATAACTTAACACAATCATCAATTTTCAATCCATCAACAGTTTGTATTTTACAATTAGGGATGACAAAATGGGTCAGGTCGGTCTTCTTTATAACGGGACGAGTTGGTGTTATCAACCTGCTAACTCGTCGGACCAACGCGTAGCCTACCTAAAAAAATAATTTTTTATTATAATACAGTTAGTTGTAAAGACAATCTATAATAGTGAAAAATTGTAAAAAGAAAATTAAAAAAGTTTCACTCTCACTCATTATAAGAAACATTCTCCTTACTCAAACACAAGCTCATCTCTCTCCTCTTCTCCTTATTCCTCGTCATTTCGCTTTTTTCGTCTTAAGTATTGATTGTTCTTATTCTTATGACTTAAATTAAAGGTGTAAGAATTACTTAAGGAAATAACAATGTGAAGTTTTATCAAATAAAAAAATATATAGGTATTTGAATTTTTTAATATAAAAAATATAAATTGTACAAATTTTGACGTTATTTATATATATATTTATTATTATATAAATTTTATTATTGTTCTAAATTATAATTTCTTAAAACAATATATTGATTTATATTATTAACTTTAAAAAAATAATAATTTTTTTTAATAATGACGGGGTGAATTGACGGGTTTTACTATCCCTATTCACTATTTGTGAAAAATCAAAATCTATAGATAATCGATTCAGGTGCTTCGACCATATTTCGGTAATGCATTCTTGTTCTCATTCCTTTTCTTTCCCAAGAATCCTTATTTCATTATCTTAGTCAATGGTTCTAAAGCTCCTTCCAAATGAGTGGTCAAGTTTCTCTTTCACCTTTTTTAAAATATGTTTTATTTATCACTTCTTGTTCTTTTAATCTTATTTTATTAAGTCAATTAACAAAGTCTTTAAATTGTTCAATAATCTTTTATATTAATTTTTTTTATATAGGAGCACTGATTAAAGAAGGACATGAATATAGAGGTTTATACTATTTTGGAGTTAGGTCACTTGTGTCTTGTTTTACATCTCAAAACCCCAAACTGTTACATGATCATTTAGGTCATCCAGCTTGTCAAAATTAAAAAAATTGGTTCCTGAACTTAGTAGTCTCCAAATGTTGGAATGTGAGTTATGCCAATTAGACAAACATGTTAGATCATCTTTTCCAAAGAAATTTGAGTCAATATGTAATTTTTTCTTTTCTATTCTTTATTATGATATGTGGGGGTCCAATTGTGTTTCATCCTTTGGTTTTAGATA